CTTGTTGTGTTGCATATGAGAAGAAGAAAAGGGAGGCTATTCATGCAAGACCTGAGGTTTGGGGCTCAGGTGGATTTTTTTTTTTTTTATTGGGCCGAAGGAGACATTGGGCTTGCTGGGTGTTACGTTTATGATCATTAATATGTATGTTATATTTAACAATATTAAATTATAAAAAAAAACAAAATTAGACGTTTTGTCATTAATTATTATTTACTATCTCTTAATATAAAGAGTGTAACTTCTGTTTGAATATATTAATTATTTGTTCGCCATTTAAATATGTTTTCTATATTAAAAATTCAACGTCAAGTAATTTAATTATTGAATTTACTTTTATTATTAAGTTAGGATTCTTTAAATATATTTCACGTTTGAAACTGATATATATTTTTTTATTTAGAATATATAACTATTTTTGTACTTTAAAAGATGTATAAATGTGTAACACTTTTTAATTAATTATAAATTGTAATTCTGAAATATAAATTTTAGTAAAAATTTTGGAACAACTAAAAAAAATTCAGTTCTAAAATAATCTAGAAATTTATTTATAAAAATTATTAATCCAGACACTTATAATATAGTTTAATGAATTAATGGATTTAAAAAATATATAAAATATGTTATGAATGATATATTTAAAAAAGAAATGGAGAAAAAGACAAAATATGTTCCGTAATCAAGAGCCTTTCTGGCAACGGAAACCTAATCATGGTGTAGGGAAGTGGTGTATGTTTTAACTTAACGCCTAAGTTATCATTCGGATATATATATATATATATATATAGTTGTTGAATTTAAAATTTTTATAATAAAATTTATATTTGTTAACTATAAAGAATGTAAATTAATTATCTATATCATTATTGTTATGATTTATTGGTATCTTTTCTTGTTCTATATAAATTAAAATAATATAAGTTATAATGTAATAAATAAAGATACCATATAAAATATATATTATTTTGTGGTACAAGATGATGTATTATTTTAAATTAATTTTTAGTAACCAAGGAGAATAAGTTTGACATTTTCTGTATTTTGCTTCTTCTTTTTTTTTTTTTTGTTAATTTGAGAATGTCAAACTTTAAATAAACGTACATATTTCAAAAGTCAAATAATACGGAGTTTCTTCTTTTCTTCTTTAAATTTATTTATATTCTTGATTGGTACCTTATTTTATAAAAACAAATAAAAATAGCATAAATAAAAAAGTTATTGGTTACATAAATTTATTATAATTATTATTAAATAACTAAATACATATATTGATAACCATATATTCGAATATATATTATCTCATATAAATAAATAAATAAATAATATCATTACAATGTGCTTAACCTAATAACAACTTACTTTATATACATACATTGCATTTATCTTTGTAATTATTAAAAATTTTATAACTTAATATTACCATTCACAGCCTATAAATCAATTGTGATAAATGTAAATGTAAATTACTTAATAAAAGAAATATAAAATTTCACCAAAAGTTAATAATTATTAATTAAAAAATTATTCTAATAACTCTCTAACATCTTATCATTAAATATCTAATATAAAAAACTAATTAGTATCACTTAAATTGAAATAAAATTCCAACATATTAACGCGGTTTAATATGATACCAATAAAGATCCAACTTTATAATAAACTATAAACCAAAAACCCATGTCTTTCATAATTTATAATTTAATGTTTCAAATTGAATAAAACACTTCTCATGAAATTTATTTATTCCAAACCTCAGCTGTCTTCAAAGATTACTACAACTAAGTTCACCAGGGAAAAATTTTCCATTTGAAAAGAATTTTATGCTGGGAACTGGTCCAAAATCCTTCTTAAGGAGAAGAAGAATCATTACTAGGACTAACAATCTTATTCTTTGAAGTCATCCTTATCATCGACAGGTATCGGCCTGTTCCTCCAGAAGACAGCCAAAGCGCTTCCACCAAGCTGCACGGAGTCAATGAAAAACAATTATATTCAATGTTGAAAATCTTAACACCCTGTTCGATTCAGTTCTTATTTAATTTCTGACTCCTCTTAACAAAGAATTAATTCGAGGACTTGCAAGAAGTTCGGGGGAGGGAAAGATATGGAATAGAGAATTCGGATGGAAGAAACATACCGCCATGCAAACAACACTAACTGCAGAAGGTACAGCTACAAGAGGGTTTGTGAAATGTTTCTGTGCAAGTAAAAATCCAAGTGCAGAGCTCTGCATGCATAAATACAAAAGGGAAACAGAGTTTTAAATTATATAGCAAGTATCAGGGATTTGAAGTTCTGATTCATATAACATAGAAATAAGTATATAAATTTAGCAAGATGCAGAACAAGAGTCTGAGAAATTTGGAGCTTCATACAAGGTAACTGCTCTTAAACGGCTTCTCAGTGCAAATAAATTGTCATATACTAATCTAACATTTGGATCAAATATGTTCTATGTTTATTCTAGAATCAGCCTTAAAAACTGTCTAATAACCAGCACTAGCCAAACCAAAAATATCCAATTATGTAAAAGAGTTAATTTTTTAAAAATCCTAATTGACCTAGTTTTCGGTAACTGTTAAAACTATTAAAATAAAATGATATTCGACAACAGCATAAGACATCTTGTTTACCTGCATTCCACATTCTATAGATATAGTACGAGAAGTTGATTCACCGAATGATATTTTTGAAATCCAATAACCAAGAGCAAATGCAGTAGCATGTAGGATAGCCACTGGCATTATAAGTTGTGCTCCTTGAGTTTTCAACACTTCCGAGACTTGCCCAATCTTACAAGAAGGAATTGAATTAGCTGTTTCCATCTAAAGCAAAATAGTCTAGAAATTGAGATGCATATGCTTTGACAACAAACTATGAAGTGTATGGGATATCTCAGAACTTACAGGGCTTGCACAAAGCAGAGTTGTCAGAATTACTCCAATTAGCGGAGTCACAGTGATTATTTTGGCAGTGAACTTCGGAAAGAATTCATTTGATAACACTGCCACATAAAGGAGAAATTACAGTGAAATTATTTACTTCCAGATCATTTTGCACTTTGAGATGAGCCATGATCTGTATACTACAAAGAAAAATGTCTTATATCAACCGACCAACTGTAACAGATGGAACCTGTAAACACACGTTAGTACCTCCAATAACTGTTGGGACCAACACAACCTGGAAAGTACTAATAGCCAATCCCTGCAAAGATGTTCAGAGAATGCAAATGTCAAAGTAGAATCACCACACATTAACTTGGAGTAAACTGAAAATCTTAATGACTCATTGACTCTTAGTCATTAACAAATGCCCTACATATGTTTGGTACTCTCATCACCTTCCAACTGATATATTAAAATAACTTTCACTCAGCAAAACAAATCAATCTAGTGCATGGACAAGAAACCACAGAGAAGACCTTTTTTTCCCCTTTTTTTGGAGGTCTAACCTATTGGATATGCTTTTTGGACTATTTACAACCTGAAATCTGGAACTCAAACCAAGGAGTTATAGAAAGCATGATTGAACTCACCGCAGCATCAACTGGAACAAGCTGACCAGCAAGAAGCTTGGTAAGGAGCGGAGTCATCACTATAGCTCCAATAGTTGAACATCTTCAGAAGTTCCACAAAAATTATGAAACATGAAGATCATGTTATTTACTGATCAACAAAGTATAAAGAGGGTATAACACAGAAAGCTCAAAACATCAACAGTCAGTAAATATCAACTGCATGGAAGTGTTTCACTGCATACGTGCAGACTATCAAACCTTGATCAAATATGACCCAGAAAAAAATCCAAAATTTTCATTAGTTTGAGGGGAGAAGTATATTCAACACCCTAGAAAGTGTTTTGGCTCGTAAAAGCCATATTAAATTGCCAATAAATCATAAAAGAAAGGAACAAAGTTATTTCAGCAGATGAAGTTGCAGGACACCTTTCAAGTATCAAACAACAACTTCGAGGCTGCGACTATGGTGGCAGAAAAGAGAGCAAGACAACCCTATTATCAATTGTTAGATCCCTTTAAATATAATTATATGACAATTACATGATCTAACTGTTAATATTGTAAACTATGGAGGGGCAGAGTAGTCTCAAGTCACCATGGACAAATCCCAATTTCATTGTCCTCCTTTAAGAAATAGGAATAGGCAGGTGAACAGCAGCGTAAGTTTCAAATGCAAGGATTCTGACTTCTCCCCTAGTATGAACACCAGAAAAATACGATGTAAGGAGCATATTAAGAATTGACCAACAACCATTCTTCCTGAAATATACAATAATGTTTCTGAAGGTTCTCATAAAACTTTTCAAACATTGGTAATAACAAATTTGATTGTGTTTTCCAGACTATGAATCAGCTAGCAGCAAAATCTAAGAACCAAAGAATCTAACTGATAAAAACATTCTGCTTCTGGAATGAAATATTTCTGGAATCCCAGAAACTCTACAATCCAGTGCATTTGAACGAAGGGATGAACATTGAGCTTACGTTGTCATAAGGACAGAAAGAGCTACATTCCCCTTTGATATATAAGTGGCAACATTTGATGCCTGACCTCCAGGGCAGCATGAAACCAAAATCAAGCCAGTGGCAAGAGGAGCCGAGAGTTTAAGACTCTGAAAGTTATCAAAAGATAGTGGAAGATCATAAGTTCATCCCAGGTTTCTTCTGTGATCAAAATTGAACCAAGATTTCATAGATAAAGAAATGCTAATAAAGACTGACTAAATCAGTCTAATATGAGACGTTCATTCAGCAGAAATTGATGGACAAATACCATTGCAATTACAAAACCTAGCACAGGCTTGATCAAGTATTGTGCAAGGAATCCTACACCCACCTGCAAAAAACCAAAACTCTACATTGTTGAATAGGTAAAATGAAGAAAAACAAAAAAAAAAATAACAAAAGTGGTTCACATATTCTGCTAGTAAGCTACAATCTTATTTGTTAATTCTTTGCTTCTTACAGTCCATGGATTACGTAGACATCGTCTGAAATCTTCAAAGGTCAGTGTCAAACCCATTGAAAGCATAAGGAAACCCAGGCCAAGGGTGAACAGGTCTGTCTCCAACCAAGTCACCTGTGAGATACAAAAACTGTAACTAGTTAGAGGGTAGTTGCCCTCTCGGTTCCCCAAAGCAGCACAAAAGGACAGAAAACTTACTGCAGCTGGCTTGTATATACCAAGAATAGTTCCCAATATGACCTGTCCACAAAATTGAAGTTCAACTGTGACATTGCATAAATAAAGTAAGCTGAAAATTTTTCCAGCATACAGACTATTGGAAACACATACCCAAACTGGAAAAAGTGTTGTCAAGGTTTCAATTATTCTCTCGTACTGGGTCATCCCCCTAGGAGTGCTACTTGGGACATCTCCAGATATGTTTGTCGCTGCCTTGCACAAAATTTGGGAGCTCCTAAAATATAAAGATCATTATTATTACGCTGTACAAGATTTTACAGATAAGAGTTTGTGCACCAAGAAGAGATGGCATGTAACCCGACGGAAATCTGACAGCACACAAGTTCAAAACCTAAGGCACTAATACTAAAGCTCAAAGTGCAGCCCAAGAAAGCATCATTCACAAGTAGTATATAATGATAATTATCAAACTGAATTGAAAGCTAGAAAAACTAAGGAATTCCCTCTCAAAAAGCTTTAGATTGAAGCCCATAAGAAATGCTTTACAATAAACAGAGTGATTAAGATTGAAACACAGTAAATGAAAGTCTAACAAATTGCTCGGCTGATAACATATTGGATAGGAGTCTTTCAGAAACAGCCGAAAAAAATATGCCGACTGTTTAAGACATTCAGCTTGCTGCCAACAATGTGATATGTTAGAGCCAGTCTTACTAGTCGGAAATGGGAATTGTGAACAATCAGGACATATCAATTTATTCGACCTTGCACAAGGAGAACTACAAAGCTTTTTGATTCCCCCATCATTAAGGCCTGAATACATCAGTTCCACATGATTAGAAGAATTAGTCAAATATTATAGTAAGGCTATTTTTAACAAACACCAAATAACTTTTAACAGCTATTTTAAGAGTACTTTTAAAACTCACAGCATAAATTACAGCCACTCCATATGCACACTTAATATTTTTATTATTCATATTAAAGCTGTGTTTGGAACAACTGAGAGAATGGTGAGTGAGCTTCTTCAAAGAGAAGTGTGCCGGAGCCTAAAGAATGACTGAGTGAGTTTCTAGTTTCTAAATGCTTTTCTTATTTCATCAAGATAGTTGTCAGACCTCCAATATTTTGGTGCACACGAATCCCAACCACGATATGGTGAAAGGAGATACTCATTATTCGAACTACAGAATATTCAAGTTGTCTTAAAGAAGTATAACCAATTGGTACTGTGGCCTCAATCTAATGAGATACCTCGAAGCTCTGGGGATGGATGAAGAGACTGTAAGAGCAACAAAAGGACGACATTGCTCGTTTTGGATGGAAAAAGCCTTTCCATTTCCAGGCGCAGAAACCACCCTCCTCAGATCTGGAAGATGCAAATCAGAAATTATTTATTAAAACAAAGGTGAAAATCAGGCGCCAAAACCGATAAAAAAAATTATTCGAACCACAATCAAAATAAGTAGTCGAAGCACAACCGGAACAAGTACCGGAACCATATCTGCAAACAAGCACCCAGAAAGTAAAAAAGGCATATGAACAAAGACAAACGAAAGATACCCAGATGAGTTTTGATCCCCCTAGCACGAAAGCAAGAAGGGGTTGCTTCATAGGGAGCACACTTGGCATTGAATTTACAATCTTTAACGAGAACTCTGGAGATAGACGCCATGGAAAGAAGATGTTCAAAGTAGCGAAAGAAAGGGGTTTAAGGACAAATAATTTTGAGGGTGATCAAAATAAACATGAGATATTGATGTGTGTTTAGTATGTAGTGCTCTCCAAAACGGCAGGAGATTGTGGATATTTTTGTGTGTAAATGATGATGCCGTGGAGACCGAGGAACCACACAAAGCGCGCATTGAACTCAGCTCAATCCAAATTCTTGCTGAGTCAGTTCAAGGAGCAAAGTCGACTGTTTTGTAGAGTGTCGTGTTGTGGATCCTGTCTGGGTACATCCCCATCAAAGCCCCATGAGCTGAGCAGAAAAGGGAGAGTGTTTATGGCCACCAATTGTTTGACAATTTTCACGGAGAAGAAGAAAGTTGTGGCTACATTTTTTTTTTTTTCCTCTTGAAGGGATTGAGAAAATGAGATAAGTATTACCCATATTTTTATTTAAATTAAACTATTTTCCTTAAAAATCAAACTACTCTAAGTCGATAAAATAAAAATTACAATATTTTTCTATGTTTGATAAATTGATATATTTTTTTTTAAAAAAAATATTCTATTAAAGAATGCAAAAAACTCACTTAGAAAAATAAATTATAAGACTTCAACTCATAATGGTTTCTCGTACTCATAATGAAGTATGTAACGCCCCGTTTTTTTTTTTCCTTTAATTGTAACGGCCCCGAAAATTTAAAATAAAATATGTGTATTAAAAATGTCAAATGCGGAAGCGAAGTCAAAATTTCGATTAATATCCCTTACACTAAAACCAAAAACGTGCTCAAAATATAAAAGATCAAACTAGCTAAAAGAGAAACTCGAAAGTAAAAGTTATGAATATGACTATGGAGTCTTTAGGCGTCCCCTTCGTCGTCTTCCTGCAGAACGGGCTCGGGAACAATGTCTTCCTGATCTGAAATGATTAAATAAGGAATGAGCTACACTAGCCCAGTAAAGACATCACAATATCTCACCGTCACGGAGGTAAAGGTGGGTAGAAAACACAAAAAGACCAATGAAGCATAATTTACCACAAATCCTTTTATCAATAATAAAACTTTTACCATCCACTTACCTCGGTGAAATTCATAAAACAATATACGAAAGCAATAACATTATCATCATCATGAAGTCATATGAACTGTATAACATAGTACTTATCACGCCTTTTATAATTCAATTATTACACAACATATTTTTCCTCTTTTACCAGCCTACTAGTATCCATGGAGATCCATAGGGGTCCCACTACCCGTGAACCCTTAACACTTGTAATCAGATTCCAGGGCCGTCCCCATACCCCGTCCGGTATGGGCGCCAAAACTATAAACCTCAATACCCCGTCCGGTATGAGGGTGAAACGGGCCGTCCCCATACCCCGTCCGGTATGGGCACCAAAACACATAGGGTCTCCATACCCCGTCCGGTATGAGAGACCACAATCCCGGTAGGGTTTCCTACGAACCCGGTCCGTCCACCATCTCCCAGGATATCTAGTTAGGCTGATCACATTATACAATTATCAATTTACATAACCTTTTCATTCCCCTTTTCTTCAGTCAGCATCATCAATTCACACGCAAACAAGCAAAACAATAATTTATGCCAAACAAGACAACATACAACATCGGTTTCTCAGTCATTCATCCCATAATCAATAAAACAGTAAAATATGCACACGAAACAATGAAATGAAAACATCAGACCTCATACTGCATTTAAAACTGTAAAATATGCCAAATAACAGTTAACCGACAAACACACTAGACTCGAGCTCCATTAGCAACCTTAAGCAATTTCACACATTCGTTGATTCAGAATTACCGTTTTATCATTATTGAACTTTAATACCGTGATAGAAAAATAGGGGTGAGGGGGTCCTTACTCGTTTCGGGGTCCGAACACGGCTTCACAGTGCGCCTACAGGCTGTCCCTAATTTTCCCCTGAATTTTTCCCGGGGAACTGAAACGCACTACTGGTACCTGCACGTGTTCCAAAAAAATTCCAAATTAGGCCCAGGCCCCCTTTCGGCCAATATCGTAACTCCGGCACGGCGGCTCCGCCGTGCTCCGGCGACGACGCCGCCGCAAGCGGCGGCGATTCGCATCGGGTTGGCCGTTTCCAGCCGAATTCGGCCACACTTGCATCGGTCCCTGCAATAAAACAACCCTAGGGCCCTCGGGGGGCCAAAAAATTACGGAAAACCGAAGCTTACCGGCGGCGGTGCTCTCGAGTGCGGCGGCTCTCCTGTGAGGTTCGTGTTTTGGTGATTCGGCTCCGATCAACCTGTAGAGAAAAGAATGGTGATCACGGTGATATAAAAATTGCATCAAACGGAGGCCGGGAAGGGCCTCATAGAGGCAAAAACCGAGGAGGGGCGCGGCAGCACCGCTGGGTTTCGGCCGTGTTTTCCGGCCGTTTGGCCGGGATTTTGGCTCCGATTTGGCCACAGAGGAATTCAGCGTGGAAAAACGAGTTGGGGGTA